AGTCTCAGAAATCAATAAACAAGATGAAGCGTTTCAAGCTCCAAGCGCCCACTGAGGCCACGACTGAAGTTCCTTGAGATGGCAGGGGCAAAAAACTCAACCCATGGCCATGGTCGGTCACGGGCTATTTCACACAATGTGTTTCAACTCGCCGAACCATTCAATATCAATCCGCAATAAACTCTGAACGTCTTCGCTTTCCAAAACCTGCTTCGTTGCTACCAGGACCAAACGGTGATATATAGTCCAAATAGTTTAACTAGACCATTTCATGGAAAGGTTAATTTAGTTCCGTAAAATTCTAGGAACCAAATGATTGATTAGTGCGAGCGCTTCTTCAAGGAAGCTCCCCCCGCCCTCAGAAGCTAACTTAGCCTGGTAGCGAACTAGTCGCCCTTAATTTACTCCCCGTTCGTAGCCAACATTGTTACCAGGAGGACAGGAGCCCCCAGTAGCTTCTTACGTTTCGACCGACGTCGTTCACCGACTTTACAGACTGCTCAGCTGCTTCTCGACGCTTTTTCTCCAAAACATCCACCAAACATCTGGTACAACGCTGTAAACTCGACGCTTCTAGGTTGGAGGCCATCGCTAGTAGGTTGGTTTCATGTTGTTTCAACCTACCTAGGACGTGTTTTTTTGCTTCGCCCTTAAGGCTCGGACGGCTTTGCGTAGAGGTGGTGGAGGTCACCGAAGAGCTCACAGAGCTGCTGGTGGAGTAAGTCGTTGTGGTGGTCGACGTGACCTCAACTTCAGCGATCGACATCGGATACAGAGGGGAATGCAGAACTTTGGATTCGATGATTTGATTTTTGTCCGACTCGTTTCCCAGTCTGCATCCAAGCCTTCCAAGGGGACCATTCGCATATGTGAGTATCACTATATGACAACGATGGAAGGAACTAGTAACTAGTAATTAGGCACAATCCGGACAAGGGGGAGAGGAGCCTTTGATTGCTGCGGAGCTTCACGTCGTATCTTTTTTGGTGTTGTAAACTGATCTGCACGCTCTGCAAACCTTGAATAGGTGAATGTGATGTCGTCTTGTACCTCTCAGGAAAGGAACGTAATATATTTTAGGCTATTAATTAATTAGGGTAGAAAAACAAGTACGCACGCGACTATTTTGATTCAACAGCGGGCTCAGCCACAACAATACGGCCAAACAAGAGCAAAAGGACAAATAATTGCAAGTGCTTCTTCTCGCCCAACGCGTGCTTCAACATATTATGGCGACCTGGCTGACGATATGTTGGCTGGGGCGAGGGCCCATGGAAAACCAATTATGTGGCAAGATTGGCATGGATTTATGAATGCCAGCTCCCTTGTGGCTGGATTCATCACCCTGGCCACACAGCTCTTGAGGACATATCTAAACTCGTCCCAAGAAACACTCCTGCACCTGCGAGTGTGTAGTCAAGACCGGTGGCATAGAACATGCCTTCTTTCTTCTTCAGTCCCTCCTCAAAACACCGAAACCTGCTAGTGTAAGCACTTAAGAATCATAGCTTGATGGCAAGGCTCTTTTTCCATTGCCCTCACCGCCCATCTCACTTCCTTGAAGAAGCATGAGCTATCCTGCGTCCAGTCGGTAGCGGCTAGTCCTCAGTGTCCTTACTGAAAGAAAGAAAGGCGCCCACTTCATTAAGTGAGAGCTGGCTTAAGACGTAAGACCTCTCAATTATTTTCGTTTGAGTCTCCGGGCCGTGGTGGTGTTGGACTGTGAGGTCGACGTGCTAGACATGGTCTGTGAGCTCGTTGAGGTGCTCCAGGAGCTGCTCGAGGAACTGCTGGTGGAGCTGCTGGAAGAGCTGGTTGAGCTGCTCGTGGAGCTGCTACTTGTGGAAGACTGTGAAGTCGAGCTGCTGCTGGAGCTTGTGCTGCTGGTCGTGGAGCTGCTGGAAGAGCTCGTCGCAGTGGTCACCTGGTCGAGCGGATTCCGGATTGATCCTGCTGGAGTAGACGGAAGCATCATGTTTCTACTAGCTTCTTGTTACTACTAGTAAGGCACTTGTTACTAGAAGCGATGCACTTGTTCCTAGTAGCTTATTGTTCATGTTTCGAATTGTTTGGAACAATTCATCAAAGTTCGAAGAAGTTCATGCTTGTCAAGGATAGTGACTCTACTTGCCAGCGTCCGAGACACTTTTCCTTACCATCTCTTGATTCTTCATCATTCTGAAAGGAACTATTGGCATCTTCACGACTACTAGGAACAAGAACGCTACTAGGGGCTCCTGGCATCGCTACTAGGAGCAAGGATGCTACTAGTAGCTCCTGGCACTACTAGTAACAAGAATAATACTAGGGGCTCCTGGCCGTACTCTAGGAGCAAGGACGCTTACTAGGGGCTCCTGGCGCTACTAGTAGTATTCCAATCTCTTAGGCCGATGATTCCTATCTTCGATGCATCGACGGAATTTCTCTCTCCGGGCGACGGTGAGCGTCGTGGCTGTTGCAGTGGAAGAACTGGTGGTGAAGCTCGTGAAGGTCGAGGAGGTCGTGGTGGGCTCGGTGGCTCGGTGACGAGTGAGAATCTTGACTCGGAGTGGAAGCCAAAACAAAAGACACCTTGGTCTTGTGGTCTTGTCTGAAGCAAAGGGCCTTGTAAATGCAGAATCTGTGTCTTTGATTCTTTGATGGAATCCAGAATCCAGTTACTGTTTGGCTTCTATCGGGCGCAGCCAAATTCAAGTTGAGCAACCAACCAGGAAGCTACTAGGAGCAAAGGGCATCGCTACTAGGGGCAACGCTACTAGTGACAAAGGAATTCTATACGTAGTGTGCTCAACTTCGTCGACGTGGACGGCATCCGAAGGCTGAGACCCCCCACGGCCACCTCGCAAATCACGTAACTCTTGTCATAGTTGCAGTTGAGGCCTGGACGCTCGCGGCACTGGAGCGGCCACAGGGAACCGGAGCATTCTTCCTCTCTTGCAGTGCCGAATGGAAGAGAAGTTTTTTTTTTGTTACTAGTAGTAAGGCACTTGTTCCTAGTAGCTTCTTGTTACTACTAGTAAGGCACTTGTTCCTAGAAGCGATGCACTTGTTACTAGTAGCTTCCCATGAGATAAATTCCTCAACCCTTCCTTTCAAGAGTTCCGGCTGCTCAAAATGAAAGCAAGTTGCCCCATGTCGTGGCTTGAGTTCTCCTTTTGCAACCTGCCCCCACCCCACTCACTCGATTCCTTGCTGAGCTCTCCCACCAACGCCCGTGCTCCAATAGACGACCAGAGTGCTCCGAAGTTGCCAGCATCCTTCCTCCGCACAGCTCAACCGTAAGCAGGTGCTCACAGGCTCATACAAGCTCATGGCCACAGCAAACACATGAGTTGGTGAATGCACTTCTACATCCTTCTCTAAGGCAACTGCTGGTGCTTCTTGAAAGCCATGAGCCTTATTCCGCACCCCTCCGTACCTCGACAGAACGCACAGCCCAAGGCAAAGGATACAATTCGATGACGTGTGGGACTCCGAGGGACCCTGAGTTTGGTTGGGTGTCCCAATTGACATCTTCAACGCCCCCCAATCCAAGCAATATGTTTCCTCTCATGGACTCAGGCCAGTGGCAATTTGAAAGCGAAGATCAGCAGGGAGGACCCATGGGAATCTTTTATGTTTGAACATCCGTGGAGTGGCCACAAAAACAATATTCAAAACAATGCGATAATGGATGATAATGGGGTAGGGGACACTGCTGACATGGGCACGTCTGGCCCATATTGCTCGCGGTGGTGCTGCAGTCGGTGTCGCTGGCGATCTTGTCGTAGCCTAACGATGCCAAAAATCCAGAGAGACTTGAAACTACTGGGATGCACTTTGACGCCACGAGCCGTTTTGTAAAGATCATACGGAGTAGCAATGTGGAACGTGTTTAAGAGCCTGACAAAGGGGTGACTCATAAGTGTATATAATATATATATATATATAAGTGTTGGACTTGTATAAAGAAAAGCGAAAGAACCGTGGTACGGTACGGACCATAAAATCGTTATCCTCCAGCCATTTTTATCCGCCACACCTGTCCAAACCACCCAGGAATGTCAGATGGACAATATGAATAACTAAGCAAAGGGAGACATAAATGATTTCATGCCACACATCTACTTCCAATTCATGTGGAAGATTGCTCAGTTCCATAAACAACAATTGTCCATCGCTGTAGCCGCCCGAGCTGTCCAACGGCCTGAGGGGCATTCACATCCTATTAGGAGCACCTGAGATTGCATTCGGCTGGGGAATTCTGCACCCTAAAAGCGATGGGCGTGGATTGTTGATCTCCACAGGTCTTCAGTTTTTGAAAAGAATCCTTTGCTCATCAAGAGGTGGAAGCAAAACATGGGTGTTTGTGCGCTTCCACATTCAACATAACCAAAGGTCGGAACTCCGAATATGAGAATCCGTCATCAAATACACGCAGTTGCCCTTTGCTCAAAAGGCTGACCGAATAGCCAGGAGGGAGGTTCAAAAAGGTGCATTGCATACTACTGAACTGGGCGTTAGCTATTTTTCTTTCTGAGGTCAAAAGAGTGCTTTCATGCAGTTGTCTCTCTTTTCAGGGTTCATACCTTCTGGAGCAGAAGATTGCTCGACCCACTAAAGTGCCGGCTAAACTGTTGTCAACCATGGCACAACACAATTTACATGCACATTACATCATCTCAAATCTCCGGTCACACCAGGATTGGACAAAATCCATGTGCTTTTGGCCAGATACATCATCCAGTTGCGCTATCTCCCACCTTATATTAACTTAGCCTTAGATGGAGGCCATCGCTAGTAGGTTGGAGGCCATCGTTAGTAATTAGGTTGGAGGCCATCACTCTTATATTGACTTAGCCTTAGCTGGGATTGATGGTCCGGCTTGGTTGGAATTGGTTGGACAAATCCATCACATGAATGGTCCGTCAATGGATTGGGCCTCCACCCGTTGGCAATCAACACACATTTAAACAAACGCATTAAAACAACTACACCCTCCTATTCTCTACCGTTTCCGGCCAGTAGTACAAGGACCCCACAGTTGCTCTCAGCCAGGGAAGGCTGGAGAAAACTAGGGCCCAAAGGAGGCGCATATCTGTCTGGGAGCATAAAGCAGCTGCAGAAATTCATCGGCGATTGGCTATGAAATCTGGGCAAAGGTTCTTCAAGACATGTTCACCTGAGGAGTTCTATATCTCAGGAGCTCTTCCCATGCTGGGAGCTTGTCTCATCCAACAAAGGTCTTGATAATTGGAGGAAGTTCATCCTCCCAGGTTCCTCCAGTAACAAGTGCATCGCTTCCAGCAACAAGTGCCACGCTACTAGTAACAAGTGCCTTACTAGTAGTAACAAGAAGCTACTAGGAAATTGGAGTGGACGATCCTAAGTAGGCGCCTACTAGCAATAGGAAGCTCCTAGCTACGACGCAGGATAGATCACGCTCGCACCAATGATTTGGTTCCTGGACTTTTTGGGAAACTAACTTTGAACAGGTTTCTAATGCCCTTTATGAAGCATTTGTTTGTGCTTTTCTCTTCTTCTCTTCTCCTCCGAGGTTCATTCAAACAGACTGCACATCACATTGGTTCAAATCTGAAGTGCGAAAATCTGAAATGGATCCTGAAGGCAGAACAGGTTGGAGGCCATCGCTGTTAGGTTGAACCAGCTCACTTCAAACACACATGCTTGCGAGCCATTTCTTTCGTGGCAGGCGTGCGTAGCTGCGCTCCTCAGTCATGTCCATGCGGTACCTCGGTCCGGCTGAATCCATCGCGTGAGTAAGAATCTAGTAGAAACAAGTGCATCGCTTCTAGTAACAAGTGCCACGCTACTAGTAACAAGTGCCTTACTAGTAGTAACAAGAAGCTACTAGCAACAAGTGCATCGCTATGACTGGGTGGGAAATCCAGCGGTCCCGAAAAATATTAAGGGATCCGCCCATCTGCATCGGTCTTTTTTTCTGTGCGCTGTGGGAGGTCGCAGCTCACAGGTCAGGCCTCAGCGGTGGGCCAAATGAAATGCCGCATGTGTTGTCTGTTCAAGCTACAGGTATCTGTATGTATCTCACCCGTGACCTGTTCATACAATTAAAAACGCTCTCTCTCTCTCAAGAAATAGAACTTCTCTCTCAAGCAAAATTTTGCTCGAATCGCGGAGGCTTCTGATTGCAAGGCAATGGTAAGCGGTCATTGCTTGGTGCAGCTTTGGTACAGAAGCAAGGTAGTAAGGGTGGGTAGGCCTATTGAACACTGATTATTAACCAGAGAGCTGCCAAGCAAAGTGAACCCAAATTCATCTCTAAGCTAATTGACCCCTGAGCAAGCAAGATGAACACCCCTGTAAGAACTCAATCTAACTTGTCATTGAAAAGCTCAGCCTGAAAAGAACGGCCTGTCAGGCATGGGCATTTGTCCATTGCCGTGCAGAAGGATTGGGAGAAAGAGCGCTCAAAACCAAATGGCGCTGCAGCCTTGCCATAGACAAGCGGAGGAGCAAGCACCCTTCAGCCCCTGCTTTGGACTGCTGGGACAGCTGGGACAGCGAGGCTGATGTGCTTGAAAGCCACTTCCAGCAGGAGCACCAAGCTTGGATGGTCTGCTTGCAGGAGCCCTTTGGCTTCAGAGGTGCCATCAAATGTGTTCCAGACTCGCACTCATACACTACAATGCCATATGACCACAGGTCTACAGCTGGTTGAAGATGCCGGCGCAAATCATCAATGGATGCGTTCCAAAGCTCGGGCGGTCGATAGTGGGCACTGACATACTCAATGTAGCGTGGCTGGATCTCGTCTGTCCCATCATGGGAAGCTAGCCTTTCAGACATACCCAAGTCGGTCAACTTCAAGTGTGAAGCTTCTGACAGCCAAAGAATGTTCCCGGGTTTGACATCTAAGTGCAAAATGCCCAAGCAATGAAGCTGCTTGGAGGGCGGCTCGCAATTGCAACGCAATTGACTTGACAGTTGCCTCCTCAAAGCCACCTGACTGTTGCTGCAACAAAGCCAACAAGGAGCACCCCCAAAGTTCTAAAGCCAGGGAATGAAACGGCTTGCTATGCACTGATGCTTCCCACAATGATGGAAACCAGTGGGCTTCCGGCGCCTGCACGCAAAGCTTCATGAGCGATGCTTCCCACTGCATGTCACGAATGGCAGATTTGCCTTTGAACACTTTGACTGCGCATTTCCGACCATCAAGGTGATGGCAAAGCATGACACAGCCATAGCTTCCCTCTCCCAGCAGAACACACTGCTGTGTGTTGCTTGGATCTGCTACAGGAACAAAGTTGTGGAAGGGTGTTGGCCTCTCTGCAGCAGGAAGCTGTGTTTCACTGGCAGGCTTCAAAGGCTCCTGCTGAGGCTTGGCAGGTTGCCTTCGCACCTTTCCAAGCCCGCTCTGCTTCAAGGAATCGCGCTGCCTGGCATATTCCTCCACGCATAAGGCCCTGTATTTTGCTTTTTCATTTTCAGGTAAGCTGGCCCACAGCTTTCCAAGCCTTTGCATTTCCTTGGCAAAGCAATCTCTTGAAGACCCTTTGGGCACTTCGCTGTGCTTCTTCAGGAAAAGCGCAAATGGCCGACAAGCTTTTGGAGCAAATCCGTCTCGGACAGCTGCCATCCTTTGAGTAAGGTCGCCCTTTGGCCTTTTCTTAGTCTTGACGCTGCAAGCTGGCTTTGGCCATGGCTGTTTACCCCGAAGGCGCAAGCAGGGCGCTGCCATGTCGTTGGGGCAGCTGGGACAGCGGATACAGCTAACTTCTGCTGAGCCTGGCACATTAGACGGCAAGTTATAGCTTGACAAGCTATTAAGAGTGACAACCGGCAGTGGCACAAGGTGAACAAGAACCGACACGTTGACACACAAACTTGAGGGCAAGGTCCTCCCTTTTTCAACTTGTCTAACTTGCAATCATCAGTCGTATTGACGCCAAAACTGCCAGATGCAAATGCTTGCCTGGGGGCAGGCTGAGCAGAGCAGCTGGTGACGGCAGGTCAGGTCTCATCGCCGCTTGTAATCGCAAGTCACACTGATGCCAAAATTGTCAGCAACTGGGACTGCTGGCTACGGCTGGTGACGGCTGGTGACGGCTGGTGTTGGCTGGTGTGAAGGCAGGTCAGGCCTCGTCACCGCTCGCAGGCTCCAAGACATCTTCATCCTCATTGGCTTGCGGCACGAGTGCAAGGAGCACATCTGGAAAATGGCTTTTGATGTCCTTCGCAAGCGCCTCTGAGTAGAGGCTGGATGCTTGCACAGAGGCAAGCCCACAAGCTGCCCTGTCTGCAATAGCCTGTAGCAAGGACAGGTGGTCTCTGTTGAGGCATAGGCCGTGGTATTGCACGCCTCGTGTCAGGCATGCCTCCATCAAGGCTCCTGTCCCTGGCGTGACATCGAAGACAGCCTTAATCTTCAGCTCGTCAAGCAGGGCAATGTAGAAGCAAATGGGCTTGCCCTCCTGCCAAAACAAAGGCACGTCTTCGCCGTGAAGATCCCTCCATGTGTCTGGAGCTGCTTTGACGGCAGGGACGGCTGGGACAGCTGTGGCCAGAACCTTCCCCTTCTCCTGAGAGGAAATTAAGGGCAGCTCTGAGGCAGGTCGAAACTTGACCCCACTGTATGTCCCTTGATAATTAGTCGCTTCTCCGCATGAAGTGAACCTTTCCTTCTTGGCCGTCTTGATCCGAAGTCTGGAGACAGGAAACCTGACCACAGCGGTCTCAACCTTCTTGGCTGTGAAGGGTGTCCGCCGCGTTCGGCCTGCCCTGGGCGGGCAACCCCCAGTGTAGATCACATGGATCTCTTCCGTCTGCGGCTGGGAAAGCAATAAATCTTCCTTGGCAAAACTGTCCAAAAGCCAAAAGGTGCTAAGCCAAGCAAGCAAATTATTCATATTAATTCTTATTCACTGAAATCAACGTCAACTTCCCAAACGCTGTGGGACAGCTGTTTTTGGTCTTCCCAGTCGAGAGGCGTGCATGCGCCTCACTTCACGCATCCTGCCATCAAAGACCAGCGCGAAGTCAGAAGAGCCTGTGCAGGAGCCGCAAAACTCCACAATGGCTTTCCATGCGGTCTTGTCTGGGCACGCTTGGGTCAGCCAAGGTTCATCCTTGTGCTCGCTGAGCAAATCAGCTGAAGCTGTAAGCAAGCGGTGGCTTGAATTCAGTTGGCCAGAATGGCTGTGCACTTTGCCACATTGTCGGAAGGCATTGGTCAAGTGATCTTTCGAGGCAAAGCTCTTTCGTCTCTCTGCCTGCACTTGTTTCCAAGTCTCCTCCCTCTTGGCCGCGGCAGATTCACTGCTGTCTCCCTCAGCAGCATTCAAAGTTTCGATCAATGAAAGCGCCGGGCAGGATGTCTGGTTGAGTGAAATGGTCTTTTGGCCGGCATCAAAAGACTGCACAATAGAGCACACAAGCTTGATGAAGTCAGAGACATGCTCTTCATCTTTGAGCGGCTAACACGGCTTGGGCAGCTGCGTACTTCGTGCAGCTTGTGACACTGCATCAGCCACCTTTGTGTCGTTCTTCGCCAAATCCTTGCAATCATCCAGATGCTTTCCGGCAACCAAATCCACTAGCAACTCAAGCAGTGCACCTGTAGCCTTGTTGAAGTCTGCCTTTGCCTTGTCTAGCTCAGACTGTTCTGAGTCTGGCGCCTCTGCCTTGACAGCTGCATCCTCATCTATTGCTTCACCGCTGGCCTGAAACTGAGCCTGGAGGAACGCTTCCCAGCACTGGATAGGTGCTTGGATCTGTTTCGTGACTTGGAGGCATTTGTCAGCATCACCATCTGGAAGCTTCAGCACCAAAGGTTGCAGGAAATCAAACGCCTGTCAGGAGTCAGGTTGGATGCCCACCCACACACCCGCCCACACCCAAATCAGAATACATGTTGATTCAGATTCAGATTGGTTGTGAGAAACTGTCAGAGCCACGCCTCCAGGACAATCAATGAAGCAGGCCAAAAACCTGCAGCGCCAGTCTTTCTGTCTCGATCCAAAGCAGCCTCAGTCGACTTGATGACAGAGAGGAGATTGGAGCTCAATGCGACATAGAGCATGTCCACAAGCCAGGCCGCCACTGCATGGGTGGGGCGTTCTGGCTTCGCACCCTTCCGAGCCAAAACAACAAGCCTGTGCAGTTTGCTGTAGGCATTGGATAGTAGCTCTCTCCCAAACTTCATTTCCAGTCTTGTCATGCTTGTCTCGAAAACCCGAGACCCACATCCTCCATGCAAAACTGATTGGACTGCTTGCACAGCTTTATGCATTGAAGCATTGTAAGGTGCATTGTTGAAGGTCAAGTTGAGCTTTACGCCCTCCTGCAAAGATTGGACATTCAGTGTCTCCACCACAGTGCAAAACTTCAAGAAAGTGTCTGAGAGGGCAGGGGCAGAAGCACCCAATGCCTTCACAGACTCTGATGCTTTGTGGCACGCCAAGGTCCAGTCAGCTGGATCAGGGCAATAGCGAATCTGAATCGTAACAGAGCAGCCGGCTTCCCAAAGCATTTCTAGCCAAAGGGTGTCCTTGATGGTCTTGGCAGAGATGTAAGCAAAATTATAATTTGGAAGCTGGCTTAGCACGCAGCCACTTTAAGACAACAAAAACTGATTGCTCAGGATTCAATCAGGGCTAGGCTCACTTGCCTTTAATGCCTCAAAGCAGGCCAGGTACCAGGCCCACAGAATGAAGTGCGCGCTGGCCAGAGCAAAACCTCCGTCCTGCGCATACTTCTCCCTTGCGCTCACATTGTCACAAAGGGTCACCATGGTGATCGGCCACAGCAAGCGATCTTTGCTGCGGAGCACCTTTCCGACGCCCCGCCTGACTTTCATCTTCGCAGCTGCCTCCTTGGAAAAAAAATCCGTCTTGAACTTGCTCAAGGCACCCCAGCTGATGCTTCCAGGGTCAGGGTCTTGGCCACCTTTGGCGAAGACCCCTGTCTGCAGCCACAGTGCCAGGCCATTGGCCTCATAGAGGCCTGATGATTCGATGGCGGATTTGTAGCTCTCAAGGCACCAAGCTGCCTGCAGCCAAAGGCTATGACTTGAAAGGAATACTTGGTGGGCAATGCAATGTGGCACGTTGTTTCTAAGAGACAATATTGTCCGATTCTTACAATTTTTAACTCTCTAGATGAATTGGCATGAAGTTCATGTCTAAATTGGACGCTCTGCTGGCAACAGGGCCTTGTAGCCCGATGCACCCTTTTCCTTGACATCAGTCTCAATGTCCAGCGGCGGGGTCAAGTGCATCTTTTCGGCTGCCGGGAGCTTCTTGGGCAGCTCAGCTTTGACCTTGTATTGGAAACAGCAACTTGGGCACTCCCTCATTCAATATGCTGGAGAGAAAGCATTTCAAGGAAAGCCGCCTATCAATGTTTGAAGAGCTGGGGAGAAGGCCCATGAGATGATCTCGTCGATCTTGCTACGCGCGTCATCCTTGGAACACTGCTGCGTGACTTGCCTTATGAAGTAATTTCACCCCAAACTTTTTTTGGGCTTGCGTCAGGACCAGGAGTCTGAGAATCTGACCAGATCAGCTGGCACAGTTGGAGCTGACATCTGGGACAGCTGGAGCAGCTGGGAAAGCTGGGGCAGCTGGGCGCAATGGGGCTGGAGCCAAGTGAAGTGAATACAAGAATAGGTTCAATGCAATGAAGTGAAAGTGAAGTGGATACAAGAATAGGTTTAATGCAACGAAGTTCAGCCCTGTTTGCGCAGCTAATCAGCAACAACTACTACAGTAGCAGGAAGCTTCAAGCTCGATTTTTAATGCCGGTGTTCAACAATGAACTGCTGCCAAAAAAGTGGTCATGGCCCTTGGCCACACTTCTGCTCAAAGCCCTGTGGCTGAGAGGCAACAAGCAGGGCTACTCAGCTCGCCTCTTCTGCCAAAACTGTGCTGTCATGCTCTGTTTCTGGAGTGAAAGGATCCTGTGTCTCATTCTTCTCAATCTTGATCAGCTGTTCAGACACCACGTTCAATTGCATCTTGAGACTTTGCAAATCACTCTCCAAAGAGCTCGCCTCATCTGTCAGCCTGCGCTTACGATTTTCGAGGCGTGCCTTTTTGTGGGCGATGACTGTGGTGGCATGGTGCTTCCATTCTGCTGTTTGGCTGACAGTCATCTGCCAGGACTGTGTCTGCAAAGAGGCCTTGCCTTCTTCAATCTGCTTGGCAATGGTTTCGCTATTGACCATCCAGAACGAGCACAGCACATGCTGGTGGGGAGCGTTCCCTCCCGGCAAAGAATCGGTCTGGAGCTTGTGCAATTGGAGCTGCTTGGATTGAAAGTCATTCTCTGCGTCTGGCTTGAAAGCAAAGAAGGCTAATGTCATAGCCGTGGATGGGCTTGCAGTCACAGGAATGAAGCCTTGACAGCCTTCTGGATGTTCCTGGAATGAGAACAGGTGCTTGCGCATTGCATCACTTGGCTCATTGAGGATGAGCAGCTTCAAAAGGGGTGTTGCCCGCACAGTGTTCAAAGCATGCTGTAAAGGCGTCCCTGAATCTGCAGCTGGCAAGGCAATGTAGTAGGCAAAGGGCTTTGGCCGTGGAGAGAATGCTTGGAGTGGCAGTTTTGAGTTGGCAGGGACATACTCGGAGGCATCTGAATACCAGAAAGCTGTGCCATCCCACACACCCTTGCCGGACTCGAGGAGCGTAGGCTGGATTGTCATGGGCCTTCAAGAAAGGAACGAGTGAAGCACAAGCAAAAACATGACAACTCAAACTCTCAGGTAAGGGTCATCAGCTATCCATACAACTGGGCCAGGTAGTGAATAAACAGCAAAGGAGCTGGGAGTGAACAAACAAGCTGGTTGCAATAATCAGAAAGGTGTTGAAGTTGCAGGACTCAAATTCTTTACGCAAACCAAGGCTCGAAAACTCAAGGCACCACTCGCCAGGCAGCAGCAATGGCTCAAACAAGTCAAAGGGTTTGGTCATCTCGAAACCAAGGCCTTCGGGCAATGGATGAAGAATTTTCTTGCCACACATGTCAGCAATGTTCTCTTTCGTCTTCAGGCTGAACACGATGTAGTTGGGGCGTTCCATTGCCAAGGCAACTTGTGCCTGCACGTGGGAGCGAGACTTTCCGGGTTTGGTTCCGGATCCTCTCTCTCCAGACAGAGTGTTGGACAAAGCAGCCCCAAGCTTGCGAGCAGTTGATTTCTTGGTCTGGGAAATGGCTGCCAAAGGGGTGTGGTGCCACTGCATGGGCTTGATCTGCGTCAACCACACACCTGAGCAATCTTTTTCGACCAAGCCCTCATAGATGCTCTCCTCAACAGCGTGGTAGCCCACAGTGCACCAGGCCATCTTCAAGGACAACAGGGACAGCAAGGACGGCAAGGACCGCGAAAGCACAGCAGGCGACAAAAAGGCTGCAGGAAGATAGCCTAAACAAGTGTCACTCCCATGCGATGACACAAACACTCAATTCATGACCTGTTGCCCCAACACACACAAATCTGAGCTTTTATCTGAGCTTTTAGGTCGTGGCTGGCAGGCAGGAATGCGAATGGCTCGCCCGGCAAGCCTTGGTGCAATGTTTCCTTACATGTCTCCCCCAACTTGTCTGCCTCTGTGATCTCGCAACCCAATGCTAGAGGTGACCACAATGTGTTCATCTGTTAAATATGCTTCTGAAAATTGACTGGCCTATTGTCTCAGGAGCAGTGGTACAAAACTTCCTCCCTTAAAACAATCCTCGCCATTCCCTGCAAAATCATCTGAGACGCAAAAACATCAGCAGATCTAGGGATCCGGCTGGAACAGCTGGGGCAGCTGGCTGCTATGGGTCGGCTCAGTCCTGCAAAGCGATAGCTGGCTTTAGAGCGATTGTTAGACCCGCAGCTGGCCTCCAAAGCGCGGCTGATTCTTGGAGCGAGAGTGGGCAAAAGTGAGCTGCACCAATTACCTTTGAGGTCGGCTGGGACAGCTGGGACGGCGGTTGGCAGGCAAAGTATTGAATCCAATCTACTACTACTGACATTATTGGGGCCACAATTCCCACATGTGTGGGCAGGGCGCTCCGAGCCAGGAGAGCCCAATTCTTCATGACTTGCAAGGCTTTGCAGGCATTGATGACAATCATTGCCTCTCCGCTGCTTCCATCCTGAACTTTTGCTGCCAAATCAGCCACACCTTTCAAGTGGCACAGAGGCGTCAACTCCCAGATAACCTGGGACCGAACAGCTTCGGCAGTCTCCCCAGACCAACGCCCAAACCATCGGCTGTAGGTGCCGTTCCTCAACTCCCAACATTGAAAAAAATTACTAGCGACACAGGCAAACTGCCAAGCTTACTGCACTACAAGTGAAGAAATAAGCGTAAATCTGCTGAGAAACCACGGTTGGGCGGATGTTTGCCCATCATCTGCAGAAATGCCTCCACCAAGGCGTCCCAATGCGCGAAGAGACTCAGCAAAGTGAATGCGCATGAGGTTCTGGCCTGGAAGCGCCAGCAAGTGCAACCTCAATGACTCAAGAGCATCGCTGGGCCACCTCTGAGATTCTTTCAATTGGTAATCAAATTCCTGGCGAGTTATTAAAACCCAAAAACAGGGCCAAACTCTATGAATTCATGATTGTTCCCAACAAGACACTCCATTAGAAAAAATCAGATGCTGCCACTCATCCCTGCCACCCACACCCACCACCACCACCACCACCCCAGCCGCCGCCACCACCACCACCCACCACCCACCACCCACCACCTGCCACCCAGCCCCCAGCCTAAGCCCCTGCCTCCACCCATGATGAAAGCCTTCCTGATGACCAGTAAACAGTAGTATCCTGTCACAATGTGAACCCTGAATATGACCTATCAGCTCAATAGGAATCTGAGGGCCAATAACCTTTCATAGCAGTTATCTGACCCTTCAAACATCCAAATATGACTCAAAGGGGCGTTGCGGTGATTTGAAGGGTCCCTCCCCAGGCTGGAGGTATTATTTGCTGGTCGAGGCACATGTCTACGTCGACTTTCCACTCAGCCTTGCTCCGAAGGGAGGAGAAAATGAACTCCTTCTTCAGAGAGCCATCCAGGAATTGAGCTGCGATGGACAGCACGCTACTCAATCGGAGTTGAGCAACATCGCGGTTGGGCCGAATGAAATGCACCTGCCGGCCACAAAAACTGCCACAAACAAGCTAAGAGTGGAAGAAAAGAACTCGAAAGCGGATACTCCCATGTTTTGTGTGAAGCGGCCAGGCCTTTCCTTTCCTCTTCACTTTGCGGGTTGGAAGATAAGCTTTGCGCTCCCCAACGCCCCCAGTGGAACGGAAGAACTCCACGAGAGCAGCGACCAAGTTGAAACGGCTGCCTGTGGAGTTTGCAAACTCAGCCAGCCACTCTGCAAACCTGCCACAGAACACAGGGCATCCTAACTTCGCATGCAATTGGATTCTCTGCTGCCACTTGAAGCACATGACGTGACCACAGGTCAGTGTGTCTAGCTGAAAACGTGCCTTCTTTGGCTAACTCAGTCGGTCAGAGGTCATATCAAAGCGAGACACAGTGGACTGCGCAAGTATGTGGCCATGATCACACATCCGAACTGCTCCAAGGCATCCAGCCGCTGGCAACCAGAGCACTGAAGAAGCTTCTCCAAAGCAGCCGTGATCTTATCCGAGCCTTGGCGTGAAGGAAAGGGAAGGAAAGGGAAGGAAAGGGACCGACCGAAAGGGCAACCAAAGGAAACAGGTTGCCGTATTCCAGGCTCTTCAGCACAACAATACCTGGAGCCAGAAACCGTTCTGTCCATAATTGCTACCACCCACTTCTGATGCTGAGTAGCAGCTGCTACCATGAGTAGTCAGTGGATGAGGCTGCAGCACTGCAAAAGACACCACCCCTCATGGTTGCCAACTAGTATACTATGACTACTCCAGTTCAGGCATGGCTGTGAGGATGCCCCTTGAGAACACCAATTCCCCATGTTCCAACCGCATTGAACGGTGTTGGTGTTTGCCTTGCCATTGACAATCAAGAACAATTTGCTGTTCTGCAATTTACGAAATCATTGGTTTGGGTGTTGGCGCAATGTAAGAATGGTGGTTGGTGATGGCCTGTTGCTGAACAGTTTTTGTACTGTGGTTGACCGTTGCCCACATTCAAAACATTGTCTGTTGTAGCCATGCCAGTTTGTAAGGGGCCATGTGGCTGCATGGTGGCTTTGGGGAAATTCATATTGCAATACAAAAATGAATAACTATTGTCAGCTTGCAAGCAATCTGTAAGAACATTTCATACTCTCCATGCCCAAGTTGCCACTGTGCTTTGACACAGGATGCAGGAATGATCCCTTGCAGGCCTGCAAGAAGGTTAGGCTCTGGCCCTCCATCCGAAGGAACGGGTTGTTCCGGTGAAGGATCCTGGCCACAAGGCTCTCATCTTCCTGGCCAAATATGGGTGAACTCTCAGGCAAACCTATCAAAGGGCAATGACTGCTGTTCCAACTTCTCACAACCAAAGGCCCTCTGTGACTAGGTACCTCATCAGGCAGCTTGCATTTGGCCCGGTAAACCAAGTATGCTGCTAGAAGTGCCTCAGTGTGAAAAAAGCACGACAACAAACACACTTGAGAAAAATGCTCAATCAGTGTGGAACTCAGTGCGCGCATTAGCGGTGCATTAGCCCCTTAGAGTGGGTTGCAATACTGGTGTCCAGCGCTTAAGCCTGGACCTGTCAATGGTCATACTCCCACAGAAAGGTGAACCGGTCTGACCAACAGTATGGTTCAGGTCACAGACTGAAGAAGGTACACGTACGTCACTGGCCATCTCCAGTGATATGAGAGCTTTGTTAAGTGGAGAGGTGTGCTCCACTCCCCTGTGTGGTAAACTTGAGCATTATGACATTATTATGACGCACAACTGAAAGGAATTATATACTAAATTAGGTGGGAGTAGTAGTAGTAGTAGTACTAGTAGTATTAGTATTAGTATTAGTATTAGTAGTAGTAGTAATAGTAGTAGTAGTAGTAGGTGGTAAGTGCTAGGTCGTAGGTGGTAGTAGTAGTAGTAATAATAACTTAATATTACTAGACTAGTAGGTAACAGTGGTCGTAGTAGTAGAAGTAGAAGTAGTAGGTGGTGGTGGTGGTGGTAATATTAATAATAGGTGGTGGTGGTAGTAACAATTAATAGTAGTAGTAATAGCAGTAGACCCTGGAAACAGGTGTTGGCACACACACACATGTACAATTTGCGCGCAGTCTCACACACACAAATGGCTGCACACTCACAAGCTTCACCAGGATTAAATGAATTGATCTGTGTGCAGGTGGGCTGCAGCAGGTACTCGGGCAGGTGGCAAGTCTCTGAGCAAGAAATCGACCACAAAGAGCAAGTCAGCTTGCGAACTCTCTGCACAAGCTTTGGCAGCCTGGCAACTGTCACTGGTAGAACTTTACGCCCACTGAATCACAATGCCTGATCCAAATTATCTCTGTGGCTGAACCGTGGCAAAATGAAATGAATGCTTGCTTCTGCATGAAGCCCACTGTCATTGGTGGCAGCGCGCCTGCGCAGCAGTCTTTTGACCTTGGCCCAGGTGCTTGTGCCACTTCTTGCCTGCAGATCTGCTATCCAGCCAAGCTTTGACAGCTTTCCCAGGAGGGATCGGAGGTGGAGCCATGGAGAAACACCTGCCAGGCTGCAAAGCTATTTTCCATCTATATCAACAGCACTTACCCTTGGCTGTACTGCCAGGAGGCTTGGATTCGCCATATCAACCCTTGGAGAACAAACCTGACCCTTGGAATGCAAAACGGCAAGTATGACCTTTGGTTGCAATGCATAAACCCTTCAACTGATGGCGTCAATCAACCCAAAAAGGTTCTCGCGAACCAGTTGGCAAAGGAAAAGTCTATAAAGAGAGGAAGCCAAGTGTATTGGAGATGAACATTTACGTGTCAATACAGGCTTGGTTCTTGCGAACCAGAGGTGTATTGAAGTCAAAGTTTTGACATTGAGTTTCAAATCTGCAGCCAAGTGTATTTGACAGGAAAATTTCCGTGTCAATACAAGCCTGGTTCTTGAGAACTGCTATTGTATTGTGATGAGGTCAGGTTTTTTAAGCTTTCAATGAATGAGTCCAGCTGAAGCCCTTGGCTTGAAATTGTCCACGCACACCCTGGGATTGTCTCAGGGAGCGGATGGTCTTTACAAAATCTTTGGCCTCTGCAAGGCTTCGAATGCGCTTCAATGGGACCTTCTTGGACCCTGGAACTTCACCAGGCTGCTGCTCCCCAACTATGAGCTTCCACCTTGATCCACTTTTCTTGGCACAGGACTTGAATGCAGAGAGAATGCTTGGAGACCTGAGGTGGCGTGCAAAGACCACACTGAACAAACACATGGTCAAGGACTAAGCAGTACCCCTGAAAGTAGATGAGTCTGGCAACTGAGCTGCTTCAGAATGTCACATTGCAAATGGATTCTCATACACTTTGCCTTGATGGCTGGTCTGCACCACATGAACCGGCTAAGGTCCCATGATTGCCGCTTTTCAACCGCCACATCTCCTCGAGCAGCAAAGCAAAGACCCAATCCATATCCAACCACCAATGCAGCAACCTAAGCACACAAAACTCAGTCAAAGAAATACCTACTGGAGGCACTCAAAATACAGCTACCGGCTTCTCTGCTGCTCTTTCATTGCTATGGGGCATGGGTCGCTCATTCTAGATTGAATTGACGCCAGGATGCCTGCAGTGGCAAGGGCGTGGCCATTGAATTAATTAAAAACATCTTTCTGCATCAGCAGGCCCAGCGTGTTCCACGCAGACCAGCTATATGCTTTGGCTTTCGGTTTGCTTTGACCTTTGTGGCCTTGCGTCTCTGCTTGGACTTTGCAATGTCCATCCCATATCTGGGTTGGAGGCCTGCTGCCAGCCTAGAATTGTTCAGGAGGACAGCTTTGGACAGCTTGGACGGCTGAGGTGTGGTCAAGCTCATCCAATCCACTAGACTGATAGCCATGAGCATCGCAAACCCCACTGTCTGCAAATGCATCATGTTTCCAGCCATGTCCTCCAACTCGGAATCTGACACATTGCTTGGGATCGTCATCTTGTGCAGCGGCAGCGCATGCATCAGCAGTTTCTCCATGGGAGCTAAGGCTCTGCCAACCTCAGCCATCAATATGTGAGCGCCTGGAGTAATTGTTGGGAGGCAGCCATCGCTGCGCAAAGGTATGCGCCCCAAGCTCTGTGACATGTCGGCTGTGGTATTGTGAGAGCAATGGCCTGTCTTCAATAGTTTGTCCCAAGCATCCCTTTCCCGTGCAAGGTGGAGGTAGAACTTGTCTGGTAGGAGTTCTTTCAATCCAGGCTTACCCTCGATCTCAAGTACCTCCTTTCCGAGAATCCACTGCTCATGGCGCTCCATCCACTTGCAGCACGGGTGCATTGCAGGAAACCGCTTTTGCTTTGCAACCTCCCACCGGCTGCGTCGCTTCTCCTGCAACTCTCTCACCACCTCATGATCTGGAGGAAGAAGGCGGTCCAGGAGCCTGGCTGGGGTAAATCTAGCGCAGAATGCTTTCCACACCTGTGAATACAGGCATTGCGCATCTGCCTCAGAAACACTGGACACGTCCTTCCTGGTCCCAATGAAATAGTAGCGTGGTCTGCTGACAGGCTCACCCAGCTCAAGAGGGTTGAGAAGCTCCACAATGACATTGTACCCCACATCACGCAACAGGGCTAAAACCTGTGGCATGCATCGCTTGATCCCCTCCACATTTTCAAAGACGAACACAGGGGGGCGCAGCTTTTTCAGTCTGCGGACAACGGCGAAAAATATACCAGCTTCCTGCTCATCTAGTAAACGTGTCTGATGGTGCAGTCGTGAAAATGGCTTGCATGAGAAGCCAGCTACATACATGTCAACTTCAGGCAGCACACTGTCCATCTTTTCATCCAAAACATCATCAAAGAGCTTCTGCTCAGGTGGACAGTTCGCTGCAATGACTAGTCTGGGCGCCTTTGCGCATTCGCAGCTGAACAAATGCCGGTGGTGGATTTTTAATTGACGCAGCGCATGCACAGGGCTTTCCAAGCCACTGCAATCTGTGCCCACACGAAGTGGTCTGTTTATGGCAGCTTGAAGCTCCTCAGTCCAGCCTTCACCCTTCCTCTCCTGAAAAGCTTGCGAAAAGGCTAGCTTAGTGCGCTGCCCCCATGACTCCAACCATTGACAGTGCTGATCAGGCAACAGCACCATTGCGCAAAATGGACAGATGAGACAGCTGGGACAGCTGGGGCAGCTTGGATGGCTGGAACCTGTGACAAGCCAAAAGGCTAAAATGTCAGAGTCACATGGGCAAACTGACTTTGGGGATGGAGGGTGGCTCAGCATGCATGGACCATCTGAGGGCGCAACGAAATGAGCATCTGCCATGTCCAAATCCAAATCATGCAGATTGTCGACCACCATCAAATCCGCATCTGCCATGGCCATGGAAGCCAAAATGTGACAGCCTGGAGGCAACTTAGTTCGCCCAGCTCCTTTGCACAGAAGCAAAGTTCTCACCATCTTGCCCTGCACCAGGTGCATAGGGTATTTCTGGTTGTCTGGCCCCTCAAAACCGCCAGTCTTTGGTCCGGTGGGCTGATATGGCTTGGAGCCAGAAGCCCTTCTCTCCGCAATCGCTGCAAATCCTAGATGATGAATCAAACACAAACTTGAGTCTGCCTCAATCAAAAAGTCTTGCTAAGCTTTGGTAGTAGCCAGATACATCCATTATGGTTTAAACGCATAATCAGTTTCAAAAAGTAAAATCTGGGCTACTCAGCAAAGCGAGCGTCTAGCTTGCTTCCTATCTGTGTGCTGCTGAAACTTTGTCTGCGCAGACTGGGCACTATTTGGCCCCCACCGTGTTCCAACCAAGTCTAAGGCTGAGGAAGAGGAAGGCGCTTGATCTGTCAGCTTCTCCATGTCCAAGCCAGGGATGAAGGATGGCAGCTCGCCTACACTGGTGGACTCTCCATCTCCAGCCCGGCAAAGCCGATCAACTGCCCTCTTCCTACTGTCTTGAATAGCTGCAAAGGTTCCTTTCCTCTTCCGACCCTTTCGCATCTTGCCCTCAAAGCTAGGCTCCCGGTACTTGTATTGAAAGCGCCGACCATAACATTGAATCCACAATTTCGAGCAAGATCGGGCAAAGGCAGTGGGGTAAAGTTTATGCTGTCCATCCAAACAAGCTGACTCAAAGACTTCACACTCTTTCTGTGGTCCATCCAGGGCTACCCGCAGAATGGCTCCAAGCATACTACCGTCCTCAGCATTGGGGCCAGAGTGAGCAGCAAGCTGTGCGCAAAGACTGCCCAAGTTTCTTTCCAATGTGGTTGTGTTGGTTTTCAAGCTCAAGTAGAAACAAATGAGCTCCTCAAGCTGTTTAGGTTTTGCCAGCTGGAGTGCTGGGGTCATGAATCTTGACCTCCACTCTGGAACCAGTGTCCAGCTCCACGCCACTCTGTTCGATGGCCTCTCGACATGCTGGCTTGCAGCCCCAACAAGCTGGCACAAGAGCTTGGCTGTGTTGGAAAAGTCACGGCACAGCTTTGTAGAGTCCAAATGCAAAGCCTTTGCCAAAGGCTTGATCAAGGGCTTCATGTCGTCCCTCTGCCCTTTTGTCTCCCAACACTTCAAGTCAAACACTGACAGGCGCTTGGCTATCTCATCCCCTTGCAAATCGACTTTCACTCGGTCCATCATTGCGTGAGCAACAGCAGACATTTCCGACATGATTGAGCGAATGTCCTGTACTCCAGCTTTGGTGCACAGGTAATGAACTTTGTTGCCATAGTAGATCCTTGAACTGATTGAAGAGGCGTGCCCTTTTCAACAACCCCTTCAGGATGGACGCGTTAATGGAAAAATGCAAAGCTTTGGATGAAAACCAAAATGAGTTACGCTTCAGGGGTTTCCACCTGCTCATAAACAATCTGGGTGATGGTCTTGTGCGACATCAGATCCTGAGCAGCTCCTTCTGCAACAGCTGGGACGGCTTGGGCAGCTTGGGAGGCTTGGGCAGATGGTACTCGCTTTGACCCATCTCCAAGGATCAATCCGTCACAGAAGAGCAGCTTCATTCGCTTGCAGAAGGACTCCACTGCTCGGGCAGTTTCCGCTGGATCTGGGTCATCGATGTCAAAGTGCCCCCGAAGGAATGCCAAGCACTCTGAAGTGTAATCACAAGTAAGACCACACCGGAACAGGTTTTGTGGGGTCATATTCAGCAACGCAGCCTCTGCTCGATCCCGAACTTCTCGTGAGCCACGGTCCTGACACATGAACACAATGTTGACAAAAACACATTTTCCTCAACTGACAGACCCAAAAGGAAGAACATGGCCAAACGTTAGTAGCATGTGAAAACTGAAGGCGCTCAAAGCGCTGAGGCTCGTCTGCAGCTTGCATAGCACAAAGCAAGGCGATTGCACGAAGTAAGCAGCAGTACTTCATCATGGGAGTTGCTGTTGAATCGAACCTTTGCTTCGCAAAGGAAAAAGTGTGAAGCACTTTATCCAAAGGGCAGCTGGGACAGCTGGGACAGCTGGGACTGTTGCTGGCTAGGACAGCTTTCTGGGCAGCTATCAGGCGAGACTTCCAGACTTCAGAATTTTGGATGTCTGGAATTAGCGCATGCCTCTTATTGAACAGCCTCTCCCACTGCTTCTCAAATTCCTCATTGGCGTGCAGAGGATCCTTGGCTGCAATGCGCACCTGGTGGGCCATGTCACAGCTGATCCACAATAGGTTTGGCAGCTCTGCCCTGCAAGACAAAAGCTCACCGGCCTTGTGGGCGCTGGTGCCTTGATCCGAAGCATAGTGCCGGACACGGGAACAAATTTTCCCCAAGGTATCATCATTCAGCTGCCCGTCAATGTCCTGGCATGCCAGCCTCAGCGCCTCAACAATGCTCTCAGCCATTTTCTCACTCTTGTCTGCATTGTGAGAGTCAAAAGTGTTGGTTGGGAGGTTGCCACTGGTCCTCATCACTCCCAGGATGCCTTCCACAACTAAAGGCTCCATCTCACACCATTCCTCCAACTTTGAAGAACTTCTCAGAGACTGGACAGCTGGGACGGCTGGAGCAACTGCTGCTTGGAATGCATCTCTAGATGAATAGCTGCACCTATACCGAACAACACGGAAGTCTGCCCTATCATCCACTGAAATGGAAATGCTGTCTGCCTCCTGGAGGGCTTTGAGCCGCTGGGACCACACAACCCAGCCCATAATCTGAATCATTTGTCGAAGACCTGTTTCTGCAAACATTCGACTACAGGGCCTCAGAGCCTGCCAGCCCATTCGAGACCAATATAGAAATTTTGATTCAATTATTAGGGCTCTGCCACAACAAAGTACTCTGAATCCTGCCAAAGCACACTTGCGTCTAATGCTGCAACGGCGTCCAGTGGAGTAATCCTCAGTGCTGTAGTGCTTTTCAGCTTTGCGGAAGGAAGACATAGTCCTGCAAGCACTCCACGCCCGCAACCAGTCATGGGGCTGTGGTACGTTGCCAGTAAACAATGTCTGGTCGGATAGCTGGTAGGGGAGAAGTTGCGATACTGGACGGTCAGGCTCGAGAAATAAGTTCTGCGCGACTCTGTGGACGTGCAAGCACTATGCTGACGGATGCAGCTGGCCTGCATACATTTCCTCTGCTTGGAGTGCAGCGTCCAACTTGCGCAACTTAATAGTGCTCAAGTTGCGCGTAGACACTTAGTCCAACTTAGTGCTCCAAGACAGTTACTAGTTCAGTGACACTTCCAAACACCATCACCTATCCAAATGGGGTCTGGGCGCCCCTCAAAAAATTGAAAAGCTAATCAATTTACAGTTAAGAGTCCTTGAGCGCACATCAAAGGACCCCCACTTGGTGCTGAAGCGGCTTCCAAGCCTCAAACGGAAGATTCACTCTGTCAGTCTTATTACTATTGGAGGCAATGGATGCCCATAGCAGACAAGTAGCAAGCGCCCACGCTCATCTGGATGGAGCGACAGCACATGCATTAGGTTTGCACAAAATGTGCATCCGATACCCCAGTGGCCCTCTCGACGGACTGGTCGCTCTGCCAACCAGACAGTGCACTGTGGCTTGCCCCAAGAACTGTGGCGCAAGGTTCCAATCTGCCCCCATCGCTTTGCAAAGCGAATGAACCTGTCAGCACGCTGCGGTGACTGACTGGGTGAAGCCATGCCTTTTTGAAAACATTGAAAGTGGTGGGTGGCTGGGATATTTTTAAATTGGACAGTCACTACTGGGTAGGCTGCTGACAGCTGTGACAGCTGAGTCAGTTGGGGGCGACACCACCACAGGCTGAGTATCATGTGAGATGAGGAGTGGGTGAGTGTCAGGGTGTGCACAGCACGTTGACAATGAGGAGGCGTAATAAGATGGACCGTGACAATGATCAGAATCAGAAACAGTCAGCGCACACACATGAGGATGAACTCAGTCAGGATGTGAGGACTGGGAATCAACTTATGCAGGTTGCGAAGGGCTTGGTATAGGCGTGGTGGCAGACAATTAAAGACTATGAGAATGGATTGAGCCGTCGCACGCCCAAATAATCTAACATGGTTTGACATTTCACATGTTGTGTTGCGACAATTCACCCGTGCCAAAGATCATCTTGAAGACCCCCTCCCACCCCTCACATGTGTGAGTAAACGTAACCATGTTGGTGGAAAAGCGTGAAAACACAGTCAACATTAAAACCTTAACGCCTCCCACAGACCCAAAAGCTATCAATTATTTAAAAACAGGTGATGTGTTTTCATAAAAACAAGGAGGGCCCAAGTAGCTAACCTTTTGAAACAAGACAAAGAAGAAAAGCAATGGCAATAGCACCATTGGGAGCTACTAAGTAAGACAATTCACCACTACCGGAACCCTCTCAGTCAGCCTGCAGCGTCCACAACGGGCTTCCAGGACTGTGCCTTTGTGACGGACCGTGTGCTGGAGCTCAGTCTCTGCCACCAATCCTACAATGCAACTCTCTCCACGCACCCTGTCCAACTTCACTGCACCTGACGCTTTCCGCTGAGGATGCTTTGGAGTGGCATCCCCACTGTTTACGACACTCTGACTCTCGCCTCGGTGACTTCCGGTTCCGTTGGGCCGACGAATGCCCCAACGGTCAGAAATGTGGGCATGGGGCCCTTTCGACGCAGAGCTTGGCTGACAGCGTTTCTGAACTTTCCGTGGTTTCTCACCCTTAACTTTCTCCTCCAAAAGCCCCCACCGAAAACCAACACACGCGCTTTTGGGCGGCATTGGACGGCTGCAGGCAGAACTTCCCCTTTTGCAACATCTATCAACCAACAGAAGAAAACTCACTGCAATGCAAGCAAGACAAACTTCCACACCAGTCCACAGACCCTGTGACCCACCGCAATTCGACCCGCGACTGAGCCACGCCTCACAAAAATCTGCCACTTCGACCGTCACGCTGCAAGTGGGGCCTCTCGTACCTGAATGGAGCCGGATGAACAAGCAATGAGACAGAAGTTGAAGTATGGTGAGTGAAGCAGTGAGTCAAAAGGTCTAGACTAACAAACTTGCACACCAATGGTCATTCTTGCAGACTAAGACAACTCATCTCTCTCAAGAGATGCTTACTTATAGGAAAACACAAAACGTGGTGAATCTAGACTTGCAGCCCTCAAGCTCAGCTGACTATTGCACATGTTTCACACCACGCTGAGGCTCAAGGATTGGACTTGGGCTTGGAGGTAGAGGAGCCAACCTCCTGGCTCAAGCAAATTCATGGACATTTGTTAAGGCCACGTTTCATTGGATTCGGCTTCAACTTGACAGGTGTATTTTCAAGAACAACCAAGTCGCCACGACAAAACGATGCTGCTGTCCTTGAAGATCCTCGCTCAAAAGCTTGCCCGTGGGTTTGCTCCTGGCAGAGAAAATCTGCTAAGTAAGTTTACAACCCAACTCAGGTTCCTAACCTGAACGATGACTCTGATGTATGACTTTGATAGTCGGTCAGCTGGGGCAAATTACACCACTCACTCTCACTCACGTCACTCACGGCCACCTGAATAAGCTGCAATGGGTCAGCTGGGACGGCTGGGACAGCTGTCTGGACACAACCTGCCAGAAAACAAAATGCCTCACGCTGACGGCTGCATTCAACTTGGAAAGTGGTCAAGCCCTTTGGCTTCATTCAGTGCTCAAGGCTATGGAGCGCACATTTACGTGAGGTGTATGACTCTGCAGGTGCCCCACATTTCAAACTTGCCTCCTCTGGTGGATGTCAACCACCGCCCGCACCAAGCCTCGCAAATAGTAGAATCGAACTGCAACGATTCTCGAATCATTGAAAACTTTGAAAACCGGTCAAAGGTCACCATCTCATTGCGCGTGTTCACCCATGATCCTGAACCACAAAACTTAGTATTTAAACTGTCAGCGGTGGACACGTGACTTAGTCCCAAGCCCCTTGCTGCCAGCTGGCCGCTTCCAGGCCTGCAAACATAGGCAAAAGAGCGCTAGCCTTCAAACAGCCCCTGTCAATGCCCCTCAAGCTTACAATGCCTCCCACGTCTAGAGCGCTGAGACTGGAAACCCTCTGCCACCCTTGCGCAAAGAATGCCGCCAGCCTCCGCGTGGCTGGTCGCCTGCCAGAATGTTCAAGAGGCTTGTCAGTCATAATAAGTTGAGCTGTAACAGTAACAATCAAACTGTGATT